GGAAAAAAATATATATCTATTCAATGACTGCAGCAGGATATGTAGCCCCAGCTAGATGTTACTTTATAGGATGCATAAAGTTAGACTTGTGTTCATGGAAATGTGTGTGTCACCTGTGTCTGCTATGAGGGTTTTTGGATTGATTAGGGTCTTTGGTGATTCAATAAAATGTGGGGGGAAAACAGTATAGAAAGCAAACATAGATACCAGAGACAGTGTGGGAGGAGAGTGGGAGATGGCAGAGGGTAAGAGATAGGGAATCAAGGATGGGGGGGAAAAAAGCAAAACATACAGAAAACAATAAATGGAAGATTATTTGCTGACAATAACATGTTTGTTGATGTGCTTGATTGAGACAATACAGTGTACTCTGGATGGAAATCTCATTTTGTATGCTGTAATAATGTACAGTGAAAGAATGCAAATAGATAAATTGAAAAAAAAGAAAGAAAAATTAATAGGGAGTTGAAAAGTAGGTGATGAGGGGCCAGCAGGTGGCACGGTGGTTGGGGCGCTGGACTCCCGCATGGCCAACCGTGGTTTGACCTCACAATAAAGGTTAAATAAATGGAAGGAGGATCCAAGATAACTTGATGGTTTTTTGCTATTACTATAACATGAACAAGCAGTCTGCACATACCACAACCCCCGCCCCCAACAACACATACACACCAGTGTGCTTTCTACTACCATCCTCTTTTGCATGGCTTGAGACTATCATCTTGGGATGCTTTGTCAAGTGTGACCCAAGCTCACCAGCCAGTCAAGGGGAGACTTACGCTCGTCACTCGACGGTAGATCTGCGCAGCATTTTGGCACTCTGAGTATGGATATTCAGATGTAGCCATCTCAAGCATGCACATCCCAAAAGCATAGACATCCACAGATTCATCATATTTCTCTTCATACATCTCAGGTGCCATGAACTCTGGGGTACCTTAAATTAAGAGAATGATTCAGACTCAATTTACGCAGAAGCTTTACATGTTACTCACTGTGGGGGAGGGGGGAGGAAAAAAGAAAATCCTCTTAGTCTGTCCTATAAAATATCTTTAGATTTTCTACTGTAAGACCTTTATAAGGAACAGAGTGAGATTTATTTACTGTTTAAATGAATTCCTATTATACAACATGTTAAAATAGTCTTACAGTTAAGAGATAAACTAATGTGAGTCACTGTAAACAAATGCAAGGAAAAGATAACTGACTAGCAAGAGAGGAAGTTGGTAAAATGGTATGTACATATGAGATGAGGTAATGGACCAAAAAAGGGTACATAGTACTTGGCTGCCCCCTACTGTATGGTAGCTGTAAGGTAAACTAAATTTATACCTGGTCTCTTGCCATTAATACTCCACCTGCTCATTTTGACTTTTTAAGACTGAGGTGAAAAACCCAGCACATAATAAGTTTTTAAGAGTGATATAGTTTAACTGTCTACAAAGGCCACTCACCAGAACCCTTTTCTTCAGATACTTACCATCCCACCTAGAGTACACAAAAAAAACCTACTGCAGATATAAGAAATATAGTGAGGAACATACTACAGGTAAAAAAAATCAAACACATACACCAAAAAATACAGAACTCACAAACAGGATAATTTATGGGCACAGAGACTTTTACAAATGCTTCTAAAAAAGTAAGTCTGTATAGCTCAAATACAGGGCATTTCTAAGAATAGGTTTGCACACTAGGACTTAATAAACAAACAAAAAAGGGGGGGAGAAAACTCTCTTGGATTTTAAGATGTCAAAGACAATGAAAGAAATGCTTCCTGAGGAAGGCAAAAAGGAAATTCAGCTTTAAATAACTCTATTCCCATTCTTCTTGTTGATGTACTACATGAAAGTGTAAAAACAGCACTCCAAATCCTAGTTACATAATACTCCAAGATCACTATTTCTTAAGAAAATCACTGGTGTTATAGGCTTTTCCTATTTCTACTGAGGGTTCTAGCCCACTTAAATAATGCAACAGGCCTTTTGGCCCGTGAGTGACATATTGGATTGCAGGGAAAGTCATGACGCATTTTTGGAAAGAAAAATACATCATGATATTCCCAACAACCTAATAAACTGTTTGTGAAGATGTTAAGGTTTTTAAATTTTAATTCCCTTTCACAGAGTATGAGATAAGCAACATAGGCATTATTTTTCCAGCTGTGACTCTAATACATTGTTAAAAGTCTGAAGGGACAGCTCTAGCCTTTTTTCTTTTTCTTATTTATTTATATTTAATCATGTCTTTACAGTGTACAACATTTCTTTTTCCGGCACAAATACCATGCATGTCAGTCAAGACAAGGATACTACTATATCCGTTATCATCAGCAAATATGGACAGCTCTGTTCTTTACATCAGTAGTTCTTGGCAGGGGGTAACTTTGCCTTCCAGGAGACATATAGCAATGTCTGGAGATATTTTTGGTTGTAATAATTAAGGATAAGTGGATAGGAGGTATGCTACTGGCACCTAGTGGATAGAGGCCAGGTAAAGCTGCCTAACGAAATGTACAAGATAATCCCTTACAACAAAGCACTGTCCAGGCCAAATGTCAATAGTAGTGATGTTGAGAAGCCTTATTTAGTTCAGTATATCGTAACTTCTAAAGAGTAAGTTGATAAAATAGGCTTTTCAGAATGGCTTGTCACAGTTTTACATTTAAGAATGATTTTAATTAACTTTACTTATCTATTTTAATTAGATCAGAAGGGACAGAGTAAGAGTGAGAGCGAGAGACAGACAGACAGAGACAGAGTCAGAAAGTGAGAAAGCAAGCTGCCATGTCTGGGACTCAAACTGCAATCGGCTATGTGGGAGTCCAGGGCCCTTAACCACTATGCTACCTGCCGGCCCTCATTTTTACATTTTTAAATTAAGTTTTCACAAGAAGATAATTTTGAATATACATATATATTATCCAATGGGTATTTCAGAAAGTAAACTACATAAAAATTTCATTTCTTGGGAACCAGCAGTTAGCATAATGGCTATGTCACTGGACTCCCACGTAGTCGACCGCGGTTTGCGTCCCAGACCCGGTGGCTTAAAACTCACACCGGGCGCATGTGTGTGCGTGCCCAAGATCCCGAGAGGAGAATGGAAGAAGAGGGATTGCGGTATGACAATCCCCCCTGGGGGGTGATTTCTCGCTTTCTGTCTCTATGTCTCTGTCTGCCTGGCGAGTGCACGCGGTCCTATAGCGAAAAACCTCTCCAAATAAAAAAAGACAAATTTAAAAAAATAAAATAAAAAAAAATTTATTTCTTGAGACTAGCAGATAGTGTAGTGGTTAAGGCGTTGAACTCCCACATGCCTGACAGAAGTTCAAGTCCAAGATCTAGCAGCTTTCTTTCTCTCTCTCTTTCTTTCTTTCTCTCTCTCTGGTGAGCACATGTGCCCTATAGCAAATTTAAAAATAATAGTATTAATATTGGGTCGTCAGGAAAGTCATGATGTATTTTTTGCATAGTAAAAGATATTAAAATGTGTCATGACTTTCCCAATGATCTAATAATACATAAAACTAAACAAATAATTATTTCTTTAAAATTTCATTTAAGAAAGTAACAAGCCATATTTATTATATAAATAGTATAAAATTTTGAGTATCAACAAGATGACTGTTACTTGAGATTTTGTGAACAAATTTCACTTCTCTCTATGTAACTTTATAAAACATCAATATTCTTCAGAATGATACTAAAATCATAAATACAGAAAATGTCATATAAGGACAACTGATCACCTCCTGAGTTCACACTATGAACTTCTGAAGATTTATTTTACTTAATAAAAGTTCTGATAGGGCCAGGTTTCTAAATAAAAGGAGTATCAGAAGACCAATCAGGCTCCAAGGTACACTTGAAACACACCTATCACACTCTTGGCAAAAGACGCCCGCTTCAGAGTCGCCAGACCAAGGTCTCCAATCTTGACTGAGCCTGTAGGGCCAGTGATAAAGATGTTGTCACATTTAAGATCCCGGTGAATAATAGGTGGAGTTCGAGTATGAAGAAACTGAAGTCCTTTAAGAATCTGACGGCACCAGCTTCTTAGAACTTTGATCTTCATCACTTTAAACCTTTTCAGGTACCTAAAAAGGCAAGGTACACCAAAGAGGTTATCAATGATATGAGTTTGTTGCTTTGAAGAAATCCATTAAATTCTAACACACCTGAAATGGGAATATCAAATTTAGAATATTAAGATTCAGTAATACCTTAAAGGTTAGTGATACTTTAGTAAGGGTAAAAGGGCTACAAGAGTTTAAAATAAAGATGTTAGTAAGGGACATAGAAAAATAAGTCTTCAAAATAATTTTTCATTTGAACAGTTACAGTATTAGGTAACTTGTTTTTTCTTTAAAAAAAATAATGGGAGATCAACTTGGCTCTATTTAAATATTTATTTCAGACTCAAAAATATTTAATTAGTAGTTGATAAGAGAATTCCAATAACAAAGCACAAAAATGAGTTCCTTAAAATTAGTTTAATGTTAAAATAATTTAAGCAGTAGAGTTCTACTTCTGGTAAAGGACAAAGCAGCTCATATCAGACAGAAATATATTTATAAACTCCAGTAAAAAACGTATAAAACAGACGAAACCTTGACTGACACAAGTTAGTTGTGTGATGAACTATAATGCCGGAAGTGATATGTACCTCTGGGGATGTGGATGCTGAGTGGACCTTAAAACATACTGAGTGCACAGGGGCCCAAGATCCTGACAAGCTGAAGGGGTTAGGGGAAGGGATCGCAGTGTGACGAGTGAGACCCTGCTGTGTGTGCCCTTCCACTTTCATGTGTACACTCGCTCTTTCTCACACACATGAAGGCTCTGGAGAGTTCACTCAAGAAAGGACAAGGACTGCCTGAGCTTCCTACTTTCTCTACCCTTTCACCTGAGAGTGGACCTCAGGCAGACCCTTCGAGTCAGCTAATACCGGATAGAGCTTGGGATGACAACAGCATTCGGAAAGTTGCTGTCCAACAAAGATTTCCGCAACTATGGTCTGTCTGATAAAACATCCACTGGCCAAACGTGACTATATTTAAATTTAGATTAATTAAAATTTTAAATAAACACATCTCAGTGCACTAGCCACTTGTCAAGAACTGAACAGATACATGTGGCAAATGGCTCTCTTTCTGGACAGTGGGTTAAAGAGCATTTCCATCACTCCAAAAGTCCTGTTGGACAGAGATCTAGAAAGGGAAGGGGAAATCCCACAAAAGAGACACAGAAGGAGAGCAGTAATTTCTGTGTACGCATCAGTCTAAATCTCTAGTTGACTTCTGAAGTATGCATATGTGGGATATATTACAAGCAGCCCAGCTAAATCTCTAAGAACTGAACCGATTTCTTAAAAAGCTTATTCATTTATTTCTTCCATGAAAGGGGAGGGAGGAGAAAGAGAAATACAACATCCCACAACAGGGTCTATATATTACAACCTACCCTCAGTCTTTAGCCAACAAGTGCTTGGTGTATTTGGGAAGGTCTCAGGACTTGAACAGGGAGCCCTCCCATGTGGGAATGCTTCACAAAGTGTTAGGTTTTACTGCTGTGCCACCATCTGGTCTGTGAACAGAGGTTTCTGATGCTACCCACTGAGGGAAGCAGTTTGGAGACTAAGTTCCAATGCATACTTTATCTGGAACTATTTAGGGAAAAAATGAACACTAAAAATGTTAAATATAAAAGACTGTGTTTTCCCCTTACTATCTTTAAAACACATATGACTAGAGTTAAAGGAAAATCTGTAGTGCTGTGGTGGTGGGTCTACGCAGTATGTAATGCATCATATATAATAATTATAGCATACAGGGACCAGCAGTTAGCATAATGGCTATGTCGCTGGACACCCATGTAGTCGACCACGGTTTGAGTCCCAGATCCGGTGGCTTAAACTCATGCCGGGCATGTGTGCGTGTGTGCCCAGGATCCCAAGAGGAGAATGGAGGAGAAGAGATTGTGGCATGGCCATCCCCCCGGGGGGTGATTTCTCGCTTTCTGTCTCCCTGTCTCTCTTTCTGGCAAGCGCACGCGCCCTATAGCAAAAACCTCTCCAAAAAAAAAGAAAAAAGAATTACAGCATACACAACAAGTGTTAAGAGGCAATAAGTAAAATCATATTTGTGTGAGGTTCTTATACCTTATATGAAATTGTATAATATCAACCTTAAATAAATTGTGAAAGCTAAGGATATAGAGCAATCACTACAGAGTAAAGCATACTGACACCTAATCTTTATTTTGGGAATGAACAGAATAGACTGACAGGAGATGAACGGACAGACACAATGCAGTAAAATACATCTAGGCGATGAGTGGGTGGGTGTTCATTTCATAATTCTGTTGAGTATTCTGAATAATTGAAAATGTTTTATTTTATAGTAAGATGTTGAGAGCCTTGTCATTATTTTTCCATATAAACTTCCTCTTTTTAACCAAAAGGATTAGCCTACAGATAATTTTATACTCTTTTTCTTTTATTGTGCCCACAGCATCTTCACTGACAGAAACTATTCAGTCATGGCTCATACTCCAAGTCCAGTGCTTTCTACAATCCTCTCCCCACCTGCTGCCCTAGCCTCTAAAGCAGAATCAGGTAATACTGAGAAAAAGAGAAGTTTAAATTGAAAAAGAAAAATATCTAAGAACTTACATAATATGCAATTAAAGAATAAGTATGCTTCCTGGGTTGAGGAAAAGAAAATGGGAAGCAAGCACTTAATGGATACAGTGCACTCTTCTGCCTTGATGCAAATGTGTAGAAACTCGACAGATAATAAAGAATAAGATACTGTGAATGTAGTAAATGCTAAAGAACTGTATACCTCAAAAAGGTGAATTCTGCGTTAATTCCACCTCAATTTAAGTCTAGATTTATTTCCACTTAGATCTGAATTTTCTAACCCACATCTTTTTGTTTCAACTGAAGTAAGCATGTTTTGGAACTAATTTCCTCTATATTTCAATTTGCCTCCTCAAATGCTACCAACATTCCCAGTTATTTTTCCAGGTATGAATGAATGTTTTTAATCTACTTGCTTAGGAATCTATATATACTCTATGTATGAACTATCACCTTCTCAAATATTGCTTTTCCTTGTTCTAAAAATTGGGACCAGCAGATGGTTTAATGGTTATGGACTCCTACATGGCTGACCCCAGTTCGAGTCTCAGAGCTGAAGGCTTGAAATTCACTACGGGCACGTGTATGCCCAAAATCCCAAGAGAAGAATAGAGGAGAAGGGACTGCGGCGTGGCCATTCCCCCCAGAGGGAGATTTCTCTCTTTCTGTCTCTACAGTGAGTACATGTGCCCTATATTAAAAAAAAAAACAAAAAAAAAAACCCTCAAAAAAAAAGTCCATGTATAAGTAGATCCATGTAGTTCAACAGTACACTTTTATTGACATCTTTATATACATACTTAGCTTGTAATCAGTTTCAGACTAGTCCATAGTACCTTTAATTGCTGCAGCGGTATTTTCTAATTTTACCTGTTCACTTTCACTAGTGTGATTTGTAATTGTAAGATCATCTTCTCTGGAAACTATTTTGTTCATGGATGCTATGACTAATAAACTGTAACAAAGTCCCTGGAAGTTTTCTGTTTTCTGCATCAGTTATGATATGCCTACCTTAGCTTAAGAGTCCTGCTTTACGTAGGTAGAATAAATTTGTATAATAAACCCATCTACATATGACATGGAAAAGTAGAGAATAACTATGAACAGTATTGGGAATTCTGTTTTTCAAAGAGACTCCCTTCTCATTCATAGTCTTGGGCAAAGGGGCAAAAATCCTCTTTGCTTTCACAGGCCAGAGTGCCAAGTTTTCCCTTTTCATGGATAATTCAGGTTTCTGACACAGATTAAGTTCCAGCTCCTCACTCTACTGAATTCTAAAGGGCTTTTGTCCTTTCATGGGTATTAAAACTCAAATAAACATTCCTCGAGCCCCATCGCCTGGTGTGAAATCCCACCAGACTGCCAGTGCATCAGCTTTGGTTTGGGCTTTGAGTTACCTCTGCTTTGCTTTATATCTATAGGTAATTCATTTTTCTTTTAAGCTTGGATATATACTGACAGGAGCATTTAGGGTCAGCTTTGCGGCCTAGTGGTTAAGACAGCCAGATCCCACACGACCGACTACAGCTTGAGTCCTAGACATATGTTCCCAAATCCAGAAAGGAAGAAGAAATGGAGGAAGAGAGATTGCAGTGTGACCATCCCGGGGGACAGGAGATGCTTTCTCCTCTCCCCTCTCTGTCAAGCACATGTGACCTCTAGCAAAACTAAATAAATAAAAAAATTTTGGAGAAGTTTTTGCTATAGGGTGCGTGAGCTTTGCCAGAAAGACAGAAACAAAAAGTGAGAAATAATGCACCCAGGAGGATGGCCACACTGCAATCCCTTCTCCATTCTCTTCTCAGGATCTTGGGCATGCATGCATGCACATGTGCCTGGTGTGAGTTTAAGCCTTTGGGTCCAGGACTTGAACCATGGTCAACAACATTGAGTTCAGCAACATAGCCGTTAACGCCAATTGCTGGTCCCAATAAGTAATTTTTTTTTCATATTATTTAACTTTATTTATTTATTTTAATTTGACCAGAGAGGAACAGAGAGAGAGAGAGAGCAAGAGTGAGAGAGAGAGGGAAAGTGAGAAAGCAAACCACCAGGTCCAGGACTTGAACCATGGTTGGCCATGTGGGAATTCAGCGTCCTTAACCACCACCCCACCTGCCGGCCCCACTAAATAAGTAATTTTAAAAAGCTTCTATTATATTGTACATTTTAGTCTACTGGTGTGAGAAACTGAGCCACAGAGTTCAGTTCAATATGCTACCCAAAGCCCCTAAATAATTTTCAAAGCAAGTAAACCATTATAGGGTACTCTTAGGCATGCCTGACAGACTTCTGATAACCAACCAAGTACTCAAACCAGTGAAAGAATCTCAAGGTGCATATATACAAACAACTACCACAATTCTCCTTAATTCGCTCAAATATATATCATGTTTTAGACAGACATAGTACTAGATAGTACAATCTAGTAGAAGAAACCAATACATGAATAACATGAAGCTTAGAGAACTAGGGAAAACATAACGCCATAAACAGAGCTGGAGAAGTTGGGTGAAGAAACTAGAATTAACAGAAAATAAATGATCTGTTTGCTTTCAACACATTAATCTTGAGCATTCAAGGGCACATTCAAGTGATTAGCAAGAGTCTTCAAAAAGTCTGTGGAAAGTGCATATTATGAAAAACTATAAACAGAGTTCCAAAATGAAATTTTTTTGCAGCAAAATAAACTCATACTTTATTTTTCCCACAGACTTTTTGAGGTATTCTCATATGTACTGGAAGGAGTAGAGGAGACTAGTGATGATATATATAAAGTTCTCAGCATAGTTCCTGAGCCGCAACTTTCAGGAGAAACAAGAGTATGTTCAGAAGATTTGGGAGTAATCAGCTCAGTAGTACGAAGCAAAAAAGGGAAACAAGAATAAGAACAGTGACGTTTTATAAATATCCAGTTTCTCTACAACAAAACATTTATAGCATGTAATGTACAACATGTTCCTCTCTGAGCATAAATAGATATTCTAAGAGACCTGGGATTCTAAAGTCATACTTCAACTCTTACCTAAGGCTCATTATAGCAGTTAAAAGGGAGTTTCTCTATTCTGTTTCTTGGAAAGGGATGAGAGGCTATTTTGGCTTCAATTTTTGATGTCACGGGAAATGGAACTAAAAGTATTTTTTGGTGATAATTGTCACAATACAATTTGCATCTGATAAAATAATTACAGAGATGGAGTAAAACAATGGTGTACAGTTTCTCAATAAACTTTAATTTCATTTTAACCACTAGAGGGCTATCTGACATTTGATTTCTGATCCCTCGGTACTCAACTTCAGAAACACCAGTTGATGTGACTTTAAATAACTAAATTTATTCTGCAAAAACTTTTCCATTCAGTACTTACCAATAAATAGTTATCAGACCACTTTATATACCAAAGGAGTTTGTGGGCAGGAAAATAGGCTAATACAGTAACAGAAGGATTGTTCCCTCTTTAATAGGCTGAGCAATGAAAGTAGAACCGGTAGGCTTAAAATAAGAAAAATCAAAATTTCTAATAAAGCTTAGTTAGCTTTTATAACATGGATGGACTTACGTTTTAAGTGTTCCGGATGTCATAAGTTCAGTCACCAAAACAATGCACTTCTTTCCTTTTACTGTGGATTCCCAGGAATCGTAGAATCGAACAATATTGGGATGCTGAAGACCCTTTAGCATTTCAGCCTCTTCTTTAAATCTCTGCCTCTCAGATTTTGTTAACTTTCGATCCTAAAACAAAAACAGAATGTGGTTTAAAATGATGATATACTGGGGGCCAGTCAGGTGGTGTGCTAGTTAAGGTGGCTGGATCCCATATAGGCAACTGCCAGTTCAAATCCTGGACTCAGAGATCTGAAAAATACACCAGGCACATTTGAGTGTCCAAAATCCCAAGAGGAGTGGAAGAGAAGGGAATGCAGTGTAGCTATCTGAGGAGTGCTTTCTCTTTCTCTCCCCTTTCTCAATTACTTCTCCCTCTCTGTCTTTCCCCAGAAAGCAAACATGCCCTATAACAAATTTCAAAAAAATATATATACCAAGCTATAGTTAATTTAGATGCTAAACATGTACTAAATCATCACTAGTGTCAAAATAAAACAGGAACATTAAAGGTATTGAATAGAATTCAACAGTGGTGGCATAAAAATGTAAAATCAGGCTAAAACTGTTTAAGATGATCTTGGTTTATAAAGTCATGCTTGAGATTATTTCAGTACCTTCACTGTCAATATGTGTCTTAGATATTTTATAAGGTGCAAGTAACTTGTCACTTTCAAAATATATCAATTGCTACAATAATATACAATTTAAGTAATATAATAAGCATGGGTTTTAGAGGCATTAAGATCTCACATAAACTTCAGTTCTTTCTTTGCATTGATTAGAACTCTCCTTACAAACACTGGGTCACTGAAAAAATCGTGACATACTTTTGTATCAAAAGCATATCATGATTTTTCTGACAAGCCAATATATACCATTACCTAATAGGATTGTTGTGAAAATTAAGTCATGTAATATGGATGCTTTATCAAGGTTTAAAGTGCCTGGCAGGCACTTCATAGGTTAACTCACTTCTTATCTGAGAAGTGGGAGGCAAAGGCCTTCAATTTATTATTCTTCTCTTGCTAATGTGCCATGCACACAGATTCTAAATTGTTCTGTGAATTAAAATCAAAACTACATTTAAATTTCACGTTAATATTCTGTCTAATGATGCAATACATGTTAACAATCTATTCCCAGCATACAATAAAGTAATATATTACTTTATCATACTGTTAAGTAATCAAATATTACAAATATAAAGGCCCCTATGTAACTAAATTGTCTTCCTCAATTCTACTCCTTACATACTTGAACAGACACTACTATACCGAATTTGGACATTTTTATATATGGGATTTTATACTTCGTATAAAAAGTTAAAATGTCACTGAGGATGTATCACATGAGATCCAGCTGTCTTAACCGCCATGCTACTTGTTGGCCCCAGAAGGCACATTTTTTACTCAACATTATTTGAGATTATAAATGAGTTTATATAATCTACTGGTGAATCTTTGGGCTACTGTGGGAAGCTGCGCACCAGCGAGTCTGCTGAAGTTTCTCAGAGAGCAAACAATTACCATGATTGGTTCCCTTCTAAAAACCTGACCTTCGAAACCTTGCTCTGATTGGCCACTAGAATCCCTCAAATTTGCATATCCGGCACCTCATGATTGGTCCAAAAGCAACCAATCATAACCCACCGTT